ATTAAGCCTGGCACCTTTAAGTTATACTGTCATCATTTTACTCTTGGCTTGCTAAATGGAAACATTTGACCACAATTCAATAAGATGAATTACTAATTATTTTCAGTGCCAAAAGAGTTTAATGTATTGCTTTAGGGTGTTTATGTATGGTGTCTTTGGCCCTTATGATACATAAAACCATTCTGATGTGTTAAAAGCCTGCTGATGTATCCAAAGTGTTTTCCAGTTCTTTTCCAAATGAATACCTCACCTTCTTTTTTCCATGAGTAAGTGGGAGTAGTTAACAGATGAATCACACACACTGCACTGTAGCCAATTGTTAGCATCCACCCCTGCATACACAATACATTATCCCAGGAAGTGTGGAGAAGGTCAAATGACTTGCAGATAAGTGCACAGTCACATGTCATTTTGATTGAATCTTTCCCCAACCCACCTCTAGCTCCCTGTCACTGAGTGATCCTGCGCTGCACAGTGACTGGTTGGATGATTCACTGTTGGCTGAACTCTGGAAAACAGAACACACACACACACACACACACACACACACACACATTAGACCTGATTGATTATTCATGTGACGCTCTGGTGAGCAGATCGTTGTTAGGAAACTGGACATAAGATATTGTTAAATGACCATTTCTAGGTGGCATCCCATGAGGTTTGCTGAAATTCTCATGTAGGTTAACTGACAAATCAAAGTAAAGATTTCCACACATCCTTCCTATCTGACAAATTATTATACTAACTGCCTCACCTATAATGTGACTCACCTTTTTGGGTGTGTTTACAATCGTAACACAAATTTCATCAGATTCGATTTTGTAAGGAAATGCAACACATTCATCGAACAGTTATAGTTTTAACATTGCTGTCACTATGCTAAGCTTCTAAGCAAGGATGCTACAATGGGCGTAAAATATACATTCCCCTGTAAATCTGCAAGTCTTGAGTTTACATCCACTTCAGTTGGTGTCATGCATGCATACCACTAATGGCCAGCTGCACAGATTGAAGAGAATGAGAAGAAACAGCAGGCACAGTGGTGCAGGCCAGCTGTCATTCTGCTGCACAAGGTCACAGAAAACCGCCAAGACAGGTTCAGATTTCCTTCTCCTAATGTGGATACTACACATGTTCATCATAGTGCCATGGAAATGTACTGAAGTACGCATGCTAACATCCTAAATCATTGACATTTTACTAAGATAATGAGCAGGCCTAGCAATGCATTTCAGAGCACACAGGCCAGAGCAGGAGTGATAGCGATTGCTTTCTCAGGGGTTGCCATTTTGTCAAATGCACACCCACACAGTAATACACAGTTCAGCAGCAGGGTTGCAGCATAGCACGCCGCCGATGCTGTGAGATTCAGCTGCGGTGCCATTTCAGTGTCACTAATCTCCACTGAAACAAAGAGCTGCTGGCCAGCTCCCATGTCAGCCAAGACAGAGCTTGTGTTGTTTAGCTTTCGCTCAGGGAGACAGGATCATGCCACTGAGGTAAACTCCTGAACACAGAGCATCATTCAACACTGGACATAGAGAAGACTTCCAAGCTCTTCTAAACTGGAGGACTAACAGAAGAGAGCTGACTGACTGCTCATGTTTGCAACACAAACAACAGTGGGATTGTGGGATGTGTGCATAGGAGCTACTCTTTTGTAGCTGTCTTTTTTGGCAGGGATAAGAAGGAACCCTCATTTAAATATATCAACAACAAGTAACAGTCATCTCCTATTACATTGTATTTAAAGCATTACATCTGCATTTACAATCAGTACTTTGCCCAGCCGATAATTTTGAGCATCAAACAAATATAATACTATAAAGAGATGCTAACCTTTGCCACACCAAGTCCAGTGAAGCGAGCCTCAAGCAGTTCCTGCCTGCGTGGGTCCAGACCTAATGCCTGGCTGTGAAGTCCTTCCATCATGCCTAAAAAGAGAGACACAATGCATGGAAATGGAGGTTAGGTGGAGTAGCTATGTTGGGTTATTGTCAAACAAGTTAAAACAGCAGGAACCCAACAATCTAGTCAATCCTGAGTTCATGGAAGCCCGGGACTAGGTTGGATCAAAAAATATTTGGACATCCAAGTGAGACAGTGATAAAATAAAGACCCAAAGCAAACTTGTTTTTAGAGCTTCCTACCTTTGCTAAGAAACCAATTTTAAATTAAATAAGTTCAATTTTGTTCTGAGGAAGAAAGCACAACGGCAAATGTGATTTGAGGTCCTTCATTAAAGAACTTGTGAAATAACTTGAGCTAACAGTCAAGGTTGACACCCAGCAGAACTTTGAACTGTTATGATAGGTGCTTTATGGTTAACTTTTGAGATAACTTAGCCCTGGCAAAGAAGGTGAAAACTAATTCTGCCAGATTCTGGTAAGTGTGGGCCATGAAGGTATATTCTTTCAAGTGAAGTTTGCTTTTTCACTAGTTGTATCTGCAAAACTCCGGCATGTTAAAAGGTTTAAATTATGTGTAAGGTAAGGTGGATATTCAAAATGACAAACCATAAAAGCAAGCGAGTGGAAAATACTGATTGAGGAGGGTAATTCCCCACTGTCATAATATTCCTAATTTAAATTCAGGGAGACATTAAAGCAAAATTACCTAAAATAATCTTTAATATGATTATCTTATGACCATATTAAACCATATTAAAGAACCATATGGCAGGGCACGACTTCCCTTTGCCATATGGGAACTCTTCCCTGTCAGGGAATCCATCAACTAGCGATGGATTCATCATTTTATCATTATGACTGTCACTTAAAACAGAAGAGACAACCATACAATATAAACATTATAGTTGTGCCAAGGAATTTAACATAAGAGAGCACATTTTTCCTTACAAGCCTGCCAATTTGTATTACAAAATAGACAATAATATGAAGCTTCATTTCAACTTTTATGAAAAAGAACTACGTTCAACTCTAATTAACTTTATTTAACGAGGACAGTAGATGGAAAATCTCTCAGTAATTGACAGACAAGAAGACGTTGACTTAGCAAGTTAACGTCAAATGCTATTATGCTTATGAAAATTTTGCGAACATTTTAAGAACGGAAAGCGGCCATGCACTGTCGCATACTAGGAATCAATTAAAAGTTTTGTTTTGGTAAAAGCAGTTAGGCTAACTGGTTATACTAAATCATTGATAGCTAAGGCTACATGACATGTCATCTAAACTGGCTAGCGTTAAGTTATCTAGCGAGCTAACATTAGCTGCAAGTCTCACCTGGAGAAGCTCTCGCAGTTTTCAGTCACTCACAGCCCTAGAGAGGATGTTGTCCGTCCATCCGGTGACAGCAAACTCCTTAACACTTCCCATGCATCTCAAATAAAGTTGTCCGGATTGAGTTATCCATTTATAGTTCTTTCTCATTCAGTGAAGACATTAGTCAGCTAAGCTAATGCTAGCTAAGGAGAGCGGTGTGGCTGGCTCCCGCCGGTGTCATCCGGACAGGAGGCCCTGATCCTCGGGGTTTCCTCGTCCGTCTTGGTGCCCTCGCACGGGCAAACCTGGAGCTGTCAACGCTCTGAAGCTTCTTGGCAAGTGTTGTCACATATCTGCTTCACTCGGTCTTTCTATTGTCATTATCCCGCGATGTAACGTTATACAGGGAGAAGTTCGGCCACCTTGTTAGAGTCCATCCTTGAAATGTTAATTAAAAATCCTTACCCCCTGCAGTAACACCGTACAGGGCTCCAGGGAGAGCTTCATGTGATGCTTTCCGTGCGCTTGTTTAACAGATAATGTAACTGCTGGTGAGAACAAACATGCAGCATATGGTAGGCAAGGCTGGTTATCCAATGGGCACTGTTCAGGGCCCCAGAGCTCCAGGGGCCCCAACAGTCCCAGGTTTTGACACATTTCGGATTTATATGTCAACTTTTAGCACTAGCCTGAAATGTAATGATGTTTCACGAGACTAATCACGCCAAATAAGAGGACGTGCCACTCCCTGATGATTTTTTTTGTTATTTTATATAATGTTCCCAAGGACAACATCTAAATACGAAGCTTTTCCAACACATTTATGCACCGGCCCTCGTCCATAAACAACCCAAGGGAGAGAAAACGCCACAAACAGCTATGTCACTAAATATAATTCAGAGTTTGTTCGTCTTTTTTGCCATCAACTCTAGCGTATGCGTAGTGCCTTAGATATATGTTGTTTTTGCCAACACACAGCAGCAGGATCAGTGCGTCTCCAAACGGAGGGAGTCGCTGCCTGTGCCATTTTACGCACGCCTCGCAGCACCTATAACTCAACCCAATTTACCTAATTTGTATACTGCTCCGTGTACGGTGTATAATTCATCTTGGATAGTTCAGTTTGTATATTGGATTGTATTACCTATATAACAGACAAGCACCAAAGTTATAGTTATGCGTGTAAATCCAGGAGATGGCAGCAGAGCACTGCAAAACGCCCGGCGTACTCTAGTGTAGGTCAGTGTAGCAGGGAGGCAGCACAAAAATGTAGTCCTCTAACTGTATTAAAAGTGTTTATAATCTAGCTTTGGCTCTTGTAAAACCCTGTAATGCATCATTTGGAATAATTTCATTTGGTCTAAAATTCAATCATCTTTGTTAAACCACAACCTTTCTTCTCATGTATTAATTATTTTAGCCGGTTGATTGATGTCTATGTGCATCCTGTGTATATGCGGATTGTTGAACAAATCATGAGGCAGAACATTGAGTGAAATATTGACAGGGCTTGATAAAAGATTATCACAGGCAACTCTGCAGACTCTAAAGAAAATGTGAATGAGAAGAAACTCTGGTTGTCTGTCATTGTGGTATTCTTGGGGAAATTAGTTAAAAACAAGACGTGGAGTGAAAATAAGTAGTTGTTGTACAAACAACTTAAAAACTTCAATAATTTACAACAGTGTACATTTTTTCTATCAAAAGTAATGATACTACTTATAATACTAAAATAAAAATGTCATGATACACATGGGTGAAAACCCTAATCTCTCAGTGAAAACAAGAAACTGCACCAGTTTTCAGACAATTAAAAGTTTACTGTGCAGACCACATAATATCTCCAGCATGGCTTGACTGAATTAAAGACCATTGAAATGTTGCCATCGTTCCACTGATGGGACGAATGGGAAATCCAAAGTTATGATCAGAAGTTTTTTTAGATTATTATCTGCCCTTTTGTTCTTCCACTGGTTTCAAGGATCAGCTGACGTGTCACTTTAAAAAAGTATTTTCCACTAAACCTCAGTGGTATCCAGTCATGTACATACTGTAGTTGTGGTTTTATCTCCCTCTGAGCCAGATATTAAGAATAATCTACAGATCTTTTCGCTAATGTTTTCCTTTTAAAACTACTTTTCACCAGATGTAATGGAAAGCCATCCAATGTACTTTTGTAAATGATCCAGAATATTGCTGATTAAAGAGACATTCAAGTTAAAAAAACATTTTCCAAACTTTGGGGCACCATGTTTATCTCAATATATAGGCAAATGAAAATATTTGCTGCAAATGGCAGGATACTATGTGTGGGTGTAAGTATGTAAATATATTTTTGTGATTTAGTTAAAACCTGCACAACACAAGAGTTCTTTGTCGACCCAAAAAAATCAAAGCATTATCTCATTTATCAGTGTAGTATAGGTGGCTGTTTATGACAAATCCCTGATAAAAATGTGTCCTCAGAAATCATTTATACATATTTACAAACACAAATAATTATTAATTATTGACTTGTGACAGTAGAGGCCTGCACATGATTCGCTGCCTTCCCAAAAAAAATGATAAAAGTCCATTATTCTTCATCCGTGTTGAGTTCAGTAGCATCAGTCTTTTCCTCTGTATGTAATGTTTGTAAAGGTAGATGTGGCTCCTTTGTAGAGAGGATTGTGTCCCTGTTGGGCAAATACACAAAGAAGACATCAATTAAACTGAGTTTCAGAACAAACAAGTTAATTCTTATGGTTTAGTATTCTAGGCACATTTGAAAAAAGGAAACCAAGGGAAATGCAGAAGAGAAAGAAAAGTGTAACGTTTTCATTTCAGTTACTTAGTGAGCACCTTAGAATTACACTGTTTCTTGGTGGTTTCAGGTTCTTTGGGATTTAGGTGTGTTTTAGAGGCCTGTTAGTGTTACCAGTAAAGGATAATTAGCGTTACCTAATTTTAACCCAGCCCTTCCGCTGGCTTTTGTTCTGCTGGGAGGAACAGCATGCCCCAAAAATAATAAAAAACATCTTCAGAAAACGAATCAGAGAGACTGCGTGTGTGGCCTTTTATGTGTTAGTGTCTGTGTTAAAGGTACAGTCATGATTGCATTAGTGTGTGCCATGTCACGCTAAAATAATTAATCCAAGGAAAGAAGATAATTTAGTGTTGTTTAATGTATCTTTTTTATTTACATCTAAATGAACCTTGACTATACCTTTCATTAATCTAAGTTTTAAACAAAGAGCCTAATAAAGAATATACACACACATGTCACCACGTGCTACATTTACTGACCGTGTCCCACTTGGCATGAGCGCGTTCTTCCTCAAATTTTGCAAACTCCCGTCTGTCGTGAATGGTGACCAGCAGTTTCCAGATGAGTAGAGCCGCCAAGCCGAGGAACAAGATAGCTCCTGCCACCGACAGAAGCACCACTAAAATGTCTGGACCCTTGGGGCACTCTGAATTAAGGGAAGAAAAATATATTTAAAATAATAATGAGAAGGGGACACAGGAGACGATTAGCCAGGAGGCAGTCCAGAGGAGGTGATAATGATTTCCATCCTGTCATGGCACTAGATGATGTTGCTAATGTTCCTCTGCTAAATGCTGTTTTTTCAGGTTAAAAGTGTGCTTTTAAATCCTGAGAATATTCACTTGACACTTGTCATCCTAGTCATTTCATTATAAATAAATATGCTCATTACCTTCTTGATTTATAATCGCTTTGTAAGAACGTGTCAGAAAATGGGGTCCATCCCAGTTTCTCGAAATCCAAGGAGATTTTTTTTAAATGTTATTGTTCAATCTGACCATATATAAATATATTTATATTCACTTTATTATAATATAATAAAGAGAAAAGCACTGATTCTCCATTTTTGAGAGGCTGATAACACAGATTCCATACATTTTGGCATGAAAAATGACTAACTATTTATAGTTGCCAATGAATTTTCTGTCAATCACCTAATGGTTGCAGGTTTTCTTCTAGCATGAAGGCTTTTATTAACGATATTATCTGTCGAGTGATGCAAGATTAGATCAATGGGACCTTTAAGGAGGATGGGCTGATGGGGAAATAGTAACCTCACACATCCAGGCCACAAACGTCCCTTCCCTCTTTATGATCTGGCAAAACTAAGGACGAATTTGATTTGAAGAGTTTCATGCAGGCTGTACAAAAGATGTCTGGAATAACTCTCCCTCTAACGTGAGACTTATTTTCCATCATTAGATGTTCTGGGAAACTTTCTCCGAAATGAACCAACAAACATGTTTCCGAATTAATGGAGATAATTAATGAGAGCACTTTGAGGCAATGTACTGCTGAATCATTCTTTATTTGATGCCTACAACTTCTAGTCTAAATAGTTGTTTGAGAGGAAGTCACATGAACAATCTAAATAGTTCACTGATTGGGTTTTGCCTGTTTTCAAGCTGTATTCATTATCGACAATGCAAATGGCTCTTACTTGGAACCAGTTAGTTTAGTATGTTTTATTCCCAGATGAAGCAGATTAGCAGCATTACGCTCTTCACAAAGCTTCATAAGCCCTTAAACCTAAAAAACTTCTGAACTGCAATAACAGTTTGTTTTATTGGGCACTTGGGGGCAGTGGAAACAAGCTGTAAATACAAAACACTGACATATTGTCACTTTTAAATTGATATGTCTTACTTTTTAGCTAACAGTGGTCATTTATTCTATAATATGCCCCAACCAACACTTGAAATATTCATACCAGCTAGCCACTGACTTTGCCCATCTCCTGTGCCTACAATGATCTTTACAAACAACAGATGCGTGTTGTTACCAAAAAAGACACTTAAGCAGTGAGAGTGAACCAAACCAGTTAAGTTGTGGGCAGGAAAACCAAAACAATTAGCGGAATTAGCTGACAGTTGCTATTAAGCTGTGTGGAGCTAAGAGGGGGGATTCATCTCTGTGGGTTTGTCGCTGAAAGTGGCTTCTGTCACAGTAGTCATCTTATTTATAGTGAATAAAAGCTTTTCACCAAAGCTGCTATCCTTTTGTTTGTTGCGCACTTTGTAGTGAATATAAATATTTTATTTGTGTTCATGGTTCCATGAAGTATGAACTGAAGTCTGGCAGCAATTGAGTTTCTTCATTACAAAAATGTCTTGCCTTCACACTTCTAGCCACTAGTGATGAGAGCCACCTGGTCCATATGTGTGAGCATCCTTTGTTTGTCAGACTGGATGTATGTCTGTTTACTGTATGGGACTATTTGCAGTGGTGGAATGTAACTAATTACTTTAATCAAGTAAATTAGTACAATTTAGTCAAAAAAATACTTAACTAAAGTATCACCATGTTATACTACTTTATACTTTTTACTCACTACATTTATTTATCACTCATAACATGGCCAGGGATATTTAAATACATAATATACTTATTTGATATAATGCACTACTATACTACTTATAAACCCAGTATTTAGCAACGTCTCTCCAATTTGCTCCACGCTGACAAACTTTAAAATACTCGTGAAAAAACAGGGTAAAATAATATTCTAAAATAATACAATTCTGTGAAAGACCAATTTGCCTACTGGTTATTTTTCTTCTGATACTTCAGTGCATTTAGCTGATAAATCCTTTGTACTCTATACTATTCTGAAAGGGGCTATTTGCAGAATCAGTACTTTTACGTTTTGTACTTGAAGTACATTTTCCTGCTAATACTTTTGTACTTTTACTCAATTAACATTTTGAAATCAGGACTTTTACTTGTAATGGAGTATTTTAAGACCATAGTGTTTCTGCTTTTACTTAAGTAAAGGATCTGAGTACTTCTTCCTCTGACCATTTCTCTGTGTGTGGGACAGCACATACAAATGTGCATCGTAGTGTTGGGTAACATAGTGGGGCAACCAGGGTGAACTTTTACTGCCGTCTTCAAAGCGTTTCTCCTCTTCCTCTCCCCATTACTTCCTTCTATTTACTGCCCTTTGGATCCTATCGCCCGATTCATTATGGCGTATATGTAAAAGTCAGGTTGGTGCTTTTAGACTATTTTTTAATTATCAACTTCAAAATATGTAAAAAATTGCTAGCCACCTTTTAAGCGCCTGGTTTCCATCTTATCCTCTTTGCCTCTGTTCTCCTTTGTTACACACCTACATGTTTCCTTTCTAAAATGTTCTCTCTCCCTTTCTTTTGCTTGCTTAGTTTCCTCTCTTATTCTCATGCGTTCCTTCTGGAAGAACATGCCGAATCAGCGGGTTCCTAGAGGAGCAGGGCAGCTGTTAACGACCCTCTTTGACACGGCGGGGTTCCCTGTGTTCAAGGCAAATGTTGGTGTACTTCTCTGCTCTCCAGTTGCGCCTTAATTAAACACACACATTCATTAAAGGCAGACCTAGGGGCAGACTTTCTTTGCGGGCACTGGTGGTCATTAAAGGCTTTCTTACCTCCCCACACTCTTTCTATTTGGCCGCTTTACAAGCAGATGAAGGGCAGGCCGCAGGGAAGTGACAACTTGTACTTGGGTGGAGAAAAAAACACTGATTGTGAAGGCAAGTGTGCTTGTTTGGCTGAATGGAGATGCTTTTGTGGTTGTAGATTCAATCCTTTTTATCTGAACAGTCATTTCTTCCATTGTGCTTCCCTCATCGCTTTCACACTTACTTACCAACCTCCCCAAGCGCTTCAAAGTGCTGTTTTGGCAAAAAATGTCTTAAAGGCAATCAGGTTGCTTTCAGTTTTCCACAAAGAGGAGCAACTACCAACCACTTTGGTTTCCACAGTTCAACTGCCCCCTATTTTGGCTAATGGGAATTGGGCAACATGACTAAAAATAACTTTAAATTGACCTGGTAACTGGGGAACGCTGTTATCTGGGAGAACAGAAGCACTTCTGTCTTCCTGTTTAGTTAAGAAACAACTCGACTAAACCCGTTCGACCGTAGACAGGATTGCATAACGTTGAATATTCTCTTCTTTAAGCGCTTGTTCTGGTCCTTACCAAATATCTGCCGCGTAATCTTTTAACTCCTCCACATTCTTCACCAGTTTGTTGCTAACTTTGTGTTTTGTGTAGAGGTTTGTGTGTAGTATGTTCATCTCTTACCTGGCTCTTTGACGACAAACAAGATGGACTTGCCGCTGGAGTCCTCATAGTACTGGAAACGCTCCACACAGTCATCCTCATCTTTGTAAGTGCAGTTCACAGCATTTGTATCATGGAGCACTGCATGAACATTCAAGAAAAAAATTCAAGTATAACAATTGGTAAAGGCACTTTCGGTGTAACAGATACCTCAACATCTTAAGAAAGCTGCAAAACACATTGATATTTGTTAGATGTAACATGGAGCAACTTTAATAAACTCCCTTTTCATTTCACATATCTTTAATCATAGAATTGTTTAAGAAGCTTTTTCTGTTATATCGATTTCATTTCTTATATAATGGCGTTTATTTGGACTACATTCAAATCGGGATGCTGTGTTTAAAAAAAATAAGAAATCAATCATTCTTCCTCTTATACATGGCCACTTTCATTCAAAATCAATAGCATTGTTGCTCAATTCTACACATTCAGGGTTTTTGCTTCTAAGATCTCATTATTTAAAAAAACTTTTTAATGCTATTCTATTTCAGAAATATTTTGGACTGTTTATTTCTTGTGTCTTAATTTCTCTCATGTACATTGCCTTGTTTTATGCTGCTGCAACGCAAACATTTCCCAAATTGGGATCAATAAAGTACCTATCCATCTATCTATTAGCAACAGTTATAACATTTTCTCACCTATTTCATCCACAAGCACAATCTCATCCTTGCAGATTCGAGAGCAGGTGTTGTCGTCGAACAGCTTGCCCCTCTTAAAGTGTTTGCACTCCACACACTCCCTTTAAGAAGGAAACAAACATCAGGTCATCATTTCAAATCACTTTTTAGAATACTGATTATGATATATGTGTGCAGACTCACTTCTTCATGGTGCAGGCGTCGGGGCAGGTGGGGCACTTGTCACACGTGGCCCCGTAGGCCCCTGGCTGGGTGCACTCACAGGCCCCACACTCACAGTGACCCCTCCCATTGCACAGCAAGCCCACGTTGGACATACAGGTGTCAGTACGTCTGGAGCAGTTACAGTTCTCACCCTGCCAGTCTGGGTCACACTGGCAGAAACCACAGTTACAGACGCCATGGCCTGTCAGGGGAAAAAAGGTTGGAGGAGATTCTAAAACATTGTTTACCAATACAACTACAATTTCAACACGTGCTATTTGGAGTAAAATAGCAAAAGAGGAAGCAATTAAATAAAATAATCTATCAATAGAAGTAGTACAAAAACAGGGGTGTGGTTGGAGTTGTGAAAGAGGGAGGAAAGAAGAGGATGGCATGTCTGTAATTTCAGCTGTTGTGCATCATTTGTTTTAAACAACTATTTTGATAAGCTTGTTTTTATGACTTTATCATTCCATGTTATAAACCATTGAGTTCATATCTCCCCGGAGCACAGCCTGTCACAACAGGACACCTTTGGGAAATGTTGTTCCTCTAGTATCTAAAATAAAGTTATGTGAGCTGGAACAATGTCTGATGGTCAGAATGAGTTGGTAATGACTGGACGTGGTACCACAAAGACTCATGAATATATTTACCACAAGCTGTGTCATTTTCAGTATTTTCCCGCTGCGATGACAAGTCTTAACTTTGAGAAATGACTTGGTCCCTCTCTTTACAGACACAGAACCAGGTTTTACAACAAAGGGAAATAAAAGAACAACGCGTTTACCTCCATGTTAAATTTGATTCATTAATAATCAGTGTTTTGTCTTGCTAGGACATTTCATAGCTTCATAAGTATTGTATCTCTTGAATTGTGATCCAAAACAATGGAAAAGCAGAAGTTGTAGCTTGTGTTCCTACAACTGTTAAAGTGATTGTGTGTCTGTGGTGTCTGGAAAGCTTTTATTTTGAGCTGCATGATTCAGTGTCGGTGTGTATGTGAGTACATTTAGGCACATTGGTTTGCTGTTGTTCATGTACGTGTGATGTGTGCATGCAAGAGAGTGACAATGCAGAAAACATTGTGGTATATCGCTGCAAAACAATGTTCAGATAAACAATGAGACAGGAAGCTTCTTGGGTCAGTGGATCTGTCATTACCACTCGACCAAAGGACCACTGGCTTTTAATTAGACCTTTCTGTGGGGGGAGCAAAGAAAACTATGGTCCTCACACTGAAAAAGGTATTTCAAGACAACAGCAGACCATGTTTTACACACAGAACAATTCCAATTCTCCCCCACTTAGCCCTTTCCTGACCAAACATGGGTTTATTTTTAGCCCCATTACACCACACATGCCAAAGTGTAAGCACAAAGGTATTTTCATGTTAATCTGCGGGCTTTGGGGAATACAGCCAAAACATTTCTGAGTGAGAGCAGCGAAAGGGGGGTAAGTGATACATGATAACTGATGACGTATTGAAGTTTGAGGCAGTCTGTGCCAAAACGTGGCCTAATGCAATTTTTAAAGCTGAATTATGACATACCCTTAGCAAAACATATATAACAACTTATACGTTACTAAAAGGAAATGCCACAATAAAGAAGAGCACTTATTTTGCCTCCATGATCTCTAATTTTCTTCCTGCTTATTCTATACTTTATATTAGCAGTTGTTTTGAATTCTTTTGAGGTTTAGATGAGAAGACTAATGCCACTTTCCATCAAACTAAAATCGGAACCCTTCCCTGTTACCCTCGTCTGTTAGTCTATGCTAATATAAGCTAACCGGTTGCTCTCTGTAGCTTTTTTTAAACTGACAAAGGAGGATCTTGTAATCTAATACTCAGTAAGAAAGCAAATGAGTGTATTCCCCAAAATGATGGACTATTCCTAGTATAGTTTATTGCAAAAGATAAGAAAGAGATAACCTCTAGCTGTCAGTAATGAAAGCAAATAAACTACCGTACCATTGGGAAGAGACGGACAGCATGCTATGCATTGTCTAACCCCTACTTAACACAGCTAATCTCACTTGAAGAATCGCTATTAAAATACTTATTACAAACATCTTCAGAGTATGATTTGTTATGACTTCTTGCTGACATAATGTCTCTTAAAACATGGAGGATCTTGAGGCTCTGAGTTAAAGCTCTTAACAAGTATCAAAAACAAACTCATTCCCACAGAAAAGTGAGTCAACTCTGAAGTGAGCCACCGTTAAACTTAAAAAGTGTTCTCTGTGAATGAATCCTGCTGAACTCCATGGTACAAAAGCACGGCTCGGCTGACAAAAACATACAACCTGAACACACGCACACAGGGTGAACAAACTAAATCATGTTTATTATAAGTGGAGCCATGTCCTGGGCAGGAGGCACGGTTGTTTTTGTATGTAATTCCCCCCAGATGAGGTGGGTGGCAAGTCAGTGTGGTGAGGGGGACTGCCAACTCTCAGAACAAAAGCAGGCTACTCTCATTCTCTATTACTCTACCACAGACAGTCAGTGAGCAATTTTAACCTTCTTTGTCTATTAATTGTATCCATATGCTTGCTGTGTGCTGTAAAAACTGAATAGTATAATATTTTGGGAAAGCAGCAAATCACATATCATATTGGAGATGCCGTGACCCTTTTGCCATTTTTGAATAACAAATTACTTTTTGAAGACAATTTGTGAGTCATTTATTAAGAGAAAAGTCAGAACTCAGTTGTTCCAGATTCTCCATTGTGACCATTTGATGGTTTCTACAATCTTTGGGTTTTAGACTGGTCATACAAAACGTGACATCAGAAGATGTCACCCTGGTGTTTGTGATATGACCAGTGGCGGACTGGCCATCGGGACATTCGGGACGAATCCCTATGGGCCGGTACTGGAGCGGGCCGGTCGGACGATGTGGGTCGGTCGGATAAGACACTAGCAACCCCCGACCCCCCCTGCCCCCCGTCGACAATTTACTAGCGGTATTTACTTTTACTTGCGGTACCGAGGTGGGCCGGTCAGATAAGTCACTAGCACCCCTCCCCCCCTTGACAATTTACTAGCAGTATTTACTTGCAGTACCGAGGTGGGCCGGCGGTACCGAAGTGGGCCGGTCGAGAGTCCCGGGCTGATTTGTAGTCCCAGTCCGCCCCTGGATATGACTGTGATGGGCTTTTTTCACTTCTGCCTTAGCATAAGTTGCAGTTGTTGATAACATTTCTGTCAATTAACTATTATCCTCTCATTGTTTCTCTTTTCATTTCGTTTAAGATGCTCGGGCCCCTACAGTAGATAGAAAACAGGATCTTACCTGAGCACAGATCCCCCTTGTAGCGCAGGCAGTTGAAGTCGTCACACTCACACAGCTTTCCCCAGACCTTTCCAAAGTCGCTGTTGTGACACACACACTGTCCGCACACACAGTCCCCCCGGCCACTGCAGATGGCAGACTGGGGTCCTCCGGAGCCCGCGGGCCCGCTGCAGCGGTCCTGCTCCGTGGGGTTATAGTCCCCCTCGGCACACTCGCAGTGCGGCCCCAATCGACCCGGGTGGCACTGGCAGATGCCGCACTCGAAGGTGCCGTTGCCATGGTTGCATTTGGGGCTGTTGGCCTGTGCCTTGTTCTGGCACTTGCAGTCGCACTCAAAGTTGACGGTGATGGAGAGAGAGTCCTTGAAGCCCACCGGCTTAATGATGAAGGTCTTCTTCTTCTGTTTGGGGCAACCACGAGCTCTAGCTTCAACACTGAAAGACACCTGGAGGAGAGGACGGAAGTCAAGTTAAAATAATCCATGATTAGGGTCAAAGTCATGCTTAGAGCCCTCTTTATTAGATTTTTCATGACATTTTCTGCATCCACACTTTGTAAAACAAGCCATTCTTCTGTATCAACCTGGTGTGGATTACCTAACATGTAACAGCACTTAAATGGTTCAGTTAATGGTCATTTAATTGCCGCTCAAATTGTGGGCATTCTCTGTGGAAACTGCACAAAGACCTGACACAGGGAAGGCCTCCATGTGTGTTAAGTCAAAGTATTTGTTCATTCAGCGATGTATCCAAATCTGGTAAATGTCCAAAAGGGGGAGAAGTTACTACATCTGGAGAGACAACCATATATGGAAAAAATAAGGGGGCTTAGGCAGAGAGAAGAAATGTACGGAGGCCAACAAATGTCACCTGGAGCGAGAAGAGAACAAGGAAAAGAGCCAAAGAAGCTGTGATGAAGAAAAAATGCTAAATAAAAGGAACTAAAAGCATACTTTAAGCAGACAGTTTGCTCTAAATGCAGATGGCAGAAGTTCAGAAGAAGGACGGAAAAACATCATTTAGGAATCAAAAACAGCCCTTATGCATGTTTATCCAACATCTGCTTTTAACACCACCAGGAAATCCTACAGCCAGAAGGGAGGTGAAAGAAGAAGGTGCAAAATAGTACATGGAAAAAACGAACATGTTATTTCTGCAATTGTATGATAACAGCCAGACACATTGGCGGGACAATTGACAATACTGTTACCAACCTGTGTAAATGCAGCCACCCATTTAACATGTAACATACTTCAAACACATTTTCTTTAATAACAACTTTCATTATCGTAACCATTTTATTTGGCAAATCATTTTTTTTTAGGGAATTTTACAAAATAAAGTATCATTTTCTTTTTACCTCTGCAACCTACTTATCCTTGTTACAGGATGTTTACATCATTTCAAGACATTTCCTGTGACAAAGAGCGACGATGACAGTACTACTACATTTGAATGCAACCGTTTCCCAGCTAGTAAAACAACAAAGTTCTCCTTCAAACTTTCCTTCAAGCTAACATTTTCCTGGTAATAAAGTCACTCTTAAGGAGTCATAGGCCAAAAAAAGGGAGGGCGGGGTATGGACTGACCGTATCCCCTATCTTGAGCCCAGAGCAGGATTTGAGGCCAGGGATGAGCTCTCCATTCAGACAGGTGGCATTGAAGGACAGGGACAGCTCCTCCGGGACGCCTTGAAGCTCCAGCTCCACCTTGGACCGGATTTTCTGTTAACAGCAATGAAGAACAACAGCGGGAAACACATACACATGGAGGAATGAGTATGTAGGGTAGCACACTGTGGCCAAAAATCACATGTTAGGTGTCAATTTTGGTTGTGCGGAGCCAAATCCCATTTTCTTCTACAACTACATGTAAGCCAATAAACTCATTTAAGTGTGCACACATTAGCAAACACGCTTGTATGCACATCTCTACACAAATTAACAGCTATGACTATTAAAGCTACATTTGTCAGCAAATTCACTTGTTCCCTACATAATAAATTCAAATAAAACATAGATAATGAAAAACAGCCAGTAACCTCCCACATTTGGTCAGCTTCACACCTCGGCCTACAGTATGTGGAATTTTTTTGTAGACTTTTGCTCGACAGTGTGTATGACTCAGAGGCTGTGGGTGTGTGTCAGCAAACACATGTCATCCACTGAAACACTGTCTAGTCGAAATGTGTGTGTATAACACTTACAGCGTAGGCTTTCAGAATGAGCTGAATAACGTTGCCCGAGTCGTTAGACAGTGTTCCTACTGTGGTGCCAGGAATCAGCTCACTGTAGTTCTACAAGACAGAAAGACAGACAGACAGAATGTTGTCATCCTACACAGTCAGGGAAACTATTAATGAATGTACTAATTAATAGAAACAAGGTGTAATAGTATGATGTCTTTTTTTTTTTCATTCTTACACTTTAAAACTGATGCATACCCAATGTTATTTAACATCTTGACTTGTGTTCCTTTATGGCCAATGGGAGTTTGATATGCATGTCCTCTATTTCTTCTCCTGTTATGAATTTCTTAATAATAGTTTGCATATTGCTGCGCTCAATAGTGTATCATAGGGATTCATTTTCAGTTTCCAATGCAGGATCCAAGAATGTCAGTTTAAAACCAGCGAGGTTTGGAGGACTTTAGCTACAGTGTGTTTAAGATTACATGATTACTGTGTTGGATTTGTCACCCTCTCAATTTCAGTTTTCAAATATTGGCCTAATTTCCTCTTTTAAACAGAACTTGAAGAGAATAAAATCCTGGATGTTCTCAGTGTGAATGCAGAGCTACTGACCTGGTACAGAGGAACCACAGGGTTGGTGACGGCAAAGATGAGATTGATGTTGTTCTCCGACGTCTTTTCTGTGATCAGAGCTAGAGAAGGGTAATCCTGAGGAGAGACCGGACAGTGTGTTTAGCAAACATAAACTCTAATATATTCCTTTTCATACGTTAAACAAAGGGGTGACATTGTCTCAGTTTCTCTCTCACTCTGTTTCTGTCTAAGGTCTGCGCACCAAAAACACACTTACGGTTAACACTAACCATGGTGGTAGACATGCTGTACATATTGTCAGAGTTGAGGTGGCACTTCCCGTCGTTTGGCTGCACGATTCCAGCCAGACGACCATCCAGAGCCATGTGAGTCTTAGCGTCCGAGGTGAAGATCAGAAGGTGGGAAGCACCGGGACGCCAACCGATCCGCTCCTGGAACCCATTAAGCCAGGTTCAAGCAAAAAGAAGGAAAGTCAAATTATTTAAATGAGCTTTTGAAGGAGGAATTACTTTTTTTCGGCCCTCATCTAAAGCAGGAAAAACTCTTTAAAGGTCACCTATTACAGTATGCAATATCCACTTTTATACATAAATATGTGTCCCCTCTGCGTTAAGAGATTGTGAACGTTTCAGGAAAAAATATTCGTTCACTTTTTTTCCTGATCCATTTATATAAAAACCTGTCTGAAAATAAGCTGATCAGATTTTGGCCACTTTATGATGTCATAACGTTTTTTTGGCTTGTGTAACCATTAGCCAATCACCAACCAAGGTGACCCCCCCCCTTATCACCTGAATCTCCTCTAGAGCACCATTGAGTTCTTTGTAACCAAATCTCTCTCAGAGGGGCGTGGGGAGGGGCTCCTTATTTTCATCTAAAGTAACAGACAGAGAATCAGCACTTTTGAAACAGGGCTGAAACAGAGGGGATTATGGGATGCTGCATTGCATGATCTGTTTGGTATTTGGAGCCAAACACTTCAGAGACATCTTTTGTATATATCTGAGACCTATAATATATTGATGAAAAACAGTATGATAGGGGACCTTTAAGATCTCTCAAACGCATACACTTGCACACTGGTTGCCCTCTTGACCTTGACTGAAGGGTTTGACTACTTTACAGCTTTGGTTGTTTGGGAAGGGGGGGCCGACCAATTAAACAGCAGCAGCGTCCCAGGGAGCATCGTACCAGACGGGAGCAGGAGGAAACTCATTTAGCAGATGAGTGGTTTTTGGGAGCAAGCAGTGAGAAGTGAGAGGTGCGAAGCAGACAGCGCCGGCGGGGATAGTGAGCTTCCTGTATGCAACAGTACCGAGAAGTCAGGCCAATCATAATACAGACAAGCTGAAAAACAAGCAACGTGTTGTCACTGAGAGCTCAGATAGAAAGCCTTTAAAAGGGTTAGATGGACCGACCGGACGCACTGCTGCTTTGCAAATCTGTTTTCAACGCGTTAAAAACTGCGAAAAATATACTCGCAGTGGTTGTGTAAGCCTCTGGAACACATTACTATTCATTTGAGGAGAAGCTGACTTTCAGAGACCACTCCTAAAACAACCATTGTTGCACTTTTCTTTATGAAGAAGGTTTTTTTTTACCTGTGACATATTTTCCACATTAGGTCAGAATTCTAATAAAACAACAAAGTCTTTCCAAAGGCAGATTTTTTTCCTCAAACGAGGTGAGAAACATTTGCAGAGAGGCCTCGCTGCATCAGTCAAACGTTTTTTATCGATTTTCTTTCAACCCTACTGAACTCTCTTTCTTCTTTTCGGGGTGGGAATGGGCATAGCGGAAAAAAACGGATGCGTAAGAAACAGCATTTCAATACCCTCACACATGAATCCCACATGTAGCACTGTTAAATTGGGAGGGATCATTATGATGTCTGAATTCAGCCGTCAGCTGGCCAACAGCTTGCACTCTTGGCTACTCTGCACAGGCTCACACATGTGGCTTTCTCAACGAGGGCTCCAGTGCGTTCTGTGCGCTTAGTGTCAGCGCAACTTAAGTTTCCTGCGTTAGGATGTGGGCAAAGACTTGGCTGGCCTCGTATCTGGCTCCCAGTGAGAGCTGGAATGAAGCACAGGCTTCTATTTAGCAGCCTATTCATGGCAGATCTGAAGTTTGGAGTAAACATCTCTAGAATCTGTAGGCTCCTCTGCAAGTGTCTTTTTCATTTGAATCTCTGCCTTGTAAGCAAAATGCGGATTCTCTTGAAGATCTTTAACTTGATCATTTGTGAAGATATGCGTGCGTGTGATTGAAGGAATAAATGCTTATTTCTCTACAAATTACAAAAAGCTTAAAGGTGGGGGAGGTCATTTAGGAGAATTTGAAAATACACAACCGGAGAAAATCTGCCACTTCCTTACAGAGCCCCTCCTCCAACACACACGAACGCGCACATGACCAATGAGGGCATGAGATAAGTTTGTGCACAGATGGAAGGCTGACAGGCAGGTAGGCCATCCAGTTACTTTAGCCGGGCTGGCTCAGATGATTGGTCGTGCTTTTTACAGCGCCACGGCTTCCACAGACAACTTTTTGTGATGGATTTTTTGTCAAAGCCCTTCAGATATTCATTGCTATCAGGATGTTAAGAGCATTCCATGGAATATAACAACAAGTGTAGCTCGAGCCGGTTTCTCAAACTTACCTACCCCACCTTTAAGTTACAGATCACAGCTCAAGCTAACACTAAGGAAAAATGGAACAACAGTGCATCTGCTTTTAAGATCGAAACTGTGAATAGTTGGCGCTAAAAAAAGAAAATAATCAAATAACGTCCTTAGGTTTACGGTCAAAATAGTATTCCAACAAAAGAAAAATGACCAGAAGTGAGACTTTGTAAAACTTTTCTCACAATCGGAGCTGAGAGACGGGGGTGAGGGTAACAGCTGTGCAATAAAAGACGTGCTGCCTCATAAGTTAAACATCACATTTGAGTTCATTCTCACTCTTTGTAATCTCTCTCCCCTCGATGACCTGACTTTTTCCATTCTCTTCCACTGTGTCCTTTGGCTTGGGTGAGGCACCGCAGACCTCGGAGATGCCGACTGGGCCCGCGTTTGACTCACTGCTGGATTTAATGTCCATATCCTGCCCAACGCAGCTAAAGATGGAGCCTTTAACTAATCGAGAGTGATCCCGGTGATGTAATATGAACTATGGAGGCCGCGGAGGGAATATCAGAGCGGCTGGACGCAAAATCAATCGCTGTCCGCTCTCCTTCAGGCTGTGTGACACCAGTGGCCTCGACGTGTCTCAGATAACGTCAACACGAGACAGAAAAGGACAATTCTGTGTGTGTGAGTGAGTCCATAAAAGAAAAATGTATGACGACAGATTGCCTCGAAGAGGTTTTTTTGTTTGTGTTGCTCTGTAAGCCTGTCTGTCTCGGCCACTTTGTGTCACTGGGTGTCGGTAGGAAAAGTAAAGTAGTGTTTTCTGAATAATTTATGAACTGTTAAGTCTGAAAAGTGTGATGCCTGAACATTTCCCAGGGTCCAAGGCGACGTCTTTAATTGCAAAGACCATTGGCAAAAAACAGTAGGTGTGTTTGCTTTGGTAGGCTCTAATGGATTATCAAAACTGTTGATTATATTCCCACCATCAATTAATTCATGAATTCATCTATTATTTCACTCCTACTCTGTATGTGTTTTTCTTAATATGTTTGTCTTAGCACTTCTAAACACCTCTTAATGAAAAACCCACAATGTACCGCTTGTACATGTCATTCTCTTTCACCATTTGTACTGGTTTGATTTGTGTTATGTCCTATATATATTCATGTTGCACTGCTGGAGGAGCCTGTGACTTAAGTGTTTCATTGCCATATCTACACTGAAGCTACACACATGGCAATAAAGCCTTGAATCTTGAATCTAATGTTCATATGCGCTAAATTCCCATTATCCCTAGAATGCTCTCAATGTTGTTTCAATCTGCCCTGAGTAGCTACAACTCCTTCGGCATCAATGTGGTCCAACGTAAAGATATTAAATGTTGACCAAGCATCATTTCATTATTGACAGCTGCGTTGGCCGTAAAATTCCATTCGAAGCTATAGCGGTTTCGACACTGTCGGAAAAAATGTAGAGCTTATTTTCTATTTGAGTCACTCCCAGGATATCTATTCAGAAGGCAGTGGAGTGGAAAACGGGCACAGCAAAGTAAAAAACACTGTCAGACAGAAAAGAAACGGAGGGAGCCATTACCTTGTCTGCATCCGTGGCTGTTAGCTGCATTATCTTGAAGCCATCTCCAACGTTCTCCTCAATGGTCACATCGAGAATGTCATTAGGGAAAACAGGAGGGTTGTCATTGACGTCCTGGAGCGTGATCTCCACCTGCAGAGCAAGAACAAACAACCACAGTTTCCGTTAAAGCTCAAACTCGGCCTGCTACAGCTGTTAAGATCGCTGCAAAGAAAAACAAAAAAACGTGTCCTCCATCTTGGATTTCAAATGATGAAGAAGAAGCTGCACAAGAAGTTATAATTCTCAGACTCCAGAGAGGCTGGAGAGGGAAAGCTGTGAAATAATGAAGTGTGGTATATTGACTTGAAGGGTCAAAAACTGAAGGGACTGAAACATTACTTTTCCCTAAGTTCATTTATTTGGATTCAATAGGCTAGTAGTCTGCATTTCAAAGCTATAACACAGTACATGTATTGTTTGATTGATGTATTGATGTGTCTACGTTTTTTGCCGTATCATTTTGGTCAAAGTCAAAATAGCAATTGCAAGAAAAGAGAGGTAGAAACTAAACTGCAGTGATTAGCCAAAGCTAATTACCCTATTTTCCAGTTTCCTGTCATTACAAAAATAAATGTAGCTGCCTTAAAAACCTTAGTCATCGAGTCTGTTAAACCATAAAAGCTGCAGCTAAAGGTAAAAGTAATTTCGCTAAAGTTAACAATGCTAATTTGGTCATTGCAACCTCTGGGTGTTTCTCAATGTCGAGTACGCTTGCTTGGTAGCACATGCTTCAGAAGCGAGGCAAGAATACTTCCTGGCATTCGGAAAACGAAGAGTGGAACAGGCTAACAGGTGTGCGTCATATGAGAGGCCCCGCCTTACATTTTCCGCCACACATTTGGGGAAATTGGTCCGTGCGCAAAGCATTGTGGGGATTTTAAGACCGCGGAGTCTACACATGTGCAGCCTCGAAATTTCTCGCTACGAAGTACGCCGGGCTCGGTAGAATTCCAAGTATGCTGGACATCGGCTGAGCTAGCTAGTCAGGAAGCTAATTCATCCACTTCTTCCTACCTGTTTTCTTAGAATTGAATAATCAGTGTTGATGCTCAAATTCCTGAGTAATTGAGTTTGTTTAACTACCGAAATCAGGAAGTAGCTAAATGTAATACAAATTGAGTAAAAGAAACACCTGACAATCTTAAAGATAAGCCTAGCTGTCACTGCTATCTCTGTCCAAACTCTATTGGATGCATGTGACTGGAGGTTATAAGCTGCCTTTTAAACACATATCTAAACTAATTTAGTTTAAGATAAATGCAATAAAGAAAAAAGCTGAGAAACAGGATCTTTTGTTTGTTGGTAGTACAGTAGTATAAAAGGAGCATTAGTACCGCTCCGTATACAAAGCAAACATAAACCAACATAAACTAACATATCTAGATGTATGCATGACGGGTCTATGGTGGAACTCATCTACCCTCGTCACTGGAGCTCATGGAGAATTTACAATTTACAAATTCACTTGAGGCTCCTTTCCGTAGAGATTTACAGTAAGCGTAACAGGAGAGCAAACTAACTGCAGCTCAGGGATTTTCACTTTCATGTCTTAGAGGGAAAAATAAACACACATTACTGTCGACCACAGACCCCCCATGTGGATACACTTTGTGCCATATAGTGAGACTTGTTCTGATAACCTAAATGTAAGAGAGACGCAAGAGCGGTCAGAGTCAAACCTATGATTAGATACATTGTTTATATGAATTATGTCATTTCAGTAAATCAAAGTGACATTTAACTTTTCCTCATTTTTACAAAAAAGACCATGTGAGCCACCTCAAAGATCCCCAACGGTTTTTCCACAACACTTGGAGAGCCGTTCATCATCAGCATAGCTCCAGGGAAATACTACAAGCTTTTACTAAATGGTCAAAAGTATTTGGAAAGCCTTTTCTGTTGTTCATAATTGTAGGACCCATAGTTCAATTGAAGGAAATGTTAATACTACAGCATCACTTGTTTAGACAATAGAGAGTTTCCAGCCTTGTGGGACCAAATTGGGGAAGGCCATTTCACCAGGACAATGCCCCGATGCAGCAAAGCAAGGTCTTTATGAGAAGTGTGACTGGCTTTATCCCCTCTTACTAGAACAGCATTAGCTTTAAACAAAGTGCAATCATTTGTACATCAAATATATGTACTTTTACGGTCTCAAATGGACTCAGAGAAACCGACCACAAGCATCCACCTACAGTAAAGGAGGACAGTTCATCAGTAACACAAGCTCAGCTATGCAAATGTCTGACGGAAAGTGGAAACCCTGGAGACAGTGAGAGTGAGACATTTACGGTTTCAGATGTTCTCTGTCTAGTGTGGCAATATTAGATTTCCAATCATATCCCATAACTTAAACTGCAGTCCCCTCCACCTCATCCTCTGACCCAAATATGCATTTCAAAGCCAGTAAACATGGCTCACTTTTGAATCATAACAGACATTTTGCTGCGCATTCTCTGTTTATTGACTCTATAAATATGGAAAAGCCGTGTTTAAATTCTCCAGCGATAGGATCTCTATTAATGTTGACAGTGATTATGGTAATTCTTGTGTCGGCATTACAAGATGCTTCAACCTCTCTTTCACAAACCCCTGAAACCCGCACAGATAAGGCTACGTGTTAGTGAGATGAGATAGGAAATGGGAAAAGAACAGTTGTCAAAAGTGTACAATGGGTGCAGCTTTTGGAGGCAACAAAAGTTTCCCAGCGGGCATTTATAGAGCAGACAATAGGCCTCAAGGCTGTACGAGCACCAAGGTGGGGGGTCAGATACAGCGGCCTATTCATACCCGGCCATTGACAGGAAAAGCAGACTTTGCATGTCGCCACAAACAGTAGCAGGAAGCTATCCGTAACAGCTGCCACAGACCCCTTTTTTCCGAAAAGCTCAGTTCATTAAAGATGACCCAGAACAAAAAGCTTGAGGGAGACGCAGCTGAAATGGTGTCAGAGTCTGGCTGAATAAAAGATGCTCCTCGCTGTGTACAGCTATGACACCGACGACAGAGGGGCAAGTTTCCGTATGGCCGCAATTACAACAAATCATCACAGAACACTCGTCTGTTCTGCTGGTGCCAGGACGAGGATGTTGTCCACTTATTAAAGTGACTCCGAGTTAGTGTCTGCATGAGCGGAGATAATTACAGAAGAACAAACCGGATTATGTCCTGGGCACCAACGATGCAAGAGGCTCGTAAACAAGCCACAGTGACAGCGGCTCGCGACTCAACTTGAGCCGAGGGACCGGGGCAAAGTCAACAAACAATGAATATTTATCTCCCGCCCTGTGTGTCCCCTTGATGTGTAAATAATGCAAGGCCCACTTCTGAGGAGAGAACTAATTAGGGTAGAAGTGCAGTTTTGAGAAATAATTACGCTCACGCTTCCAGTTTGTATTACCCAGGCTCCCACGGGACACAAATATATCAAAGGGCTTTGGTGAAAAACATTCAGTGGAGGAAGAGGAAGCAAGGTCACGGGGGGGGGAGGCTGAGAGAAGAAGGAAGAGAGGTTTTGTTCGCTCTACCTGTCTGTGGCCGACCCAGATGCCCCGGCAGAGGCAGGTGAAACACATTAGTTTACAAGGTAAAAGATTGTGTTTCATGAAACTACTGTTTCAAGTTGCAGGTGCTGCTAACTGGCTGCCAGGGTTTTATTATTTATGGGCAGGTATGAATGATTCACGCGTCAAGTGGTTCCTGAGCGCTGACGATTATGAGACCTTAAGTGATGGAAGGTATTTGTCCAAGAGTTTGAGACTGGACCTCGAACCCAGCAGCGATAATTCATCTTGTCACAAAATTCCCAGGGCATATATGATAAACGCAGGACTGACAGGTGGGATAACTTAGATATCTGATGCAATCATGTAGGCATTTCACTCATATAATTCAAATTTAAAGACTCACTTCAGCCATATAACTAGAAAATATATTTTTTTCGTAGTATTTAGCCATGCACACAATTTTGTACTAATGTTCCGAGGTCTTGAGATATCTTCTACTTCTGCTGTGACCCCAATATAAATGAGTAGAATGTTTTTTATTTGTGTTGTGCTCGAAGCATACACTTGAAAAAATCAGCAGAAACTTGTCTTCCGGTAAAAATGCCCCAGTTTTAAGGGATTTTTCCCTGACTTCACTTCCCACTAAGAAATAGTCCATTTGAAAACTGTTAAAGGTGGGGTAGGTAATTTTGGAGAGACCAGCTCGAGTGCGCTAGAATTTGAAAATACACAACCGGAAAAAATCTGCCACTTCCTTACAGAGCCCCTCCTCCAACACACACGAACGCGCACATGACCAATGAGGGCACGAGATAAGTTTGTGCACAGATGGAAGGCTGACAGGCAGGTAGGCCATCCAGTTACTTTAGCCGGGCCGGCTCAGATGATTGGTCGTGCTTTTTACAGCGCCACGGCTTCCACAGGTGACATTTTTTAATGTATTTATTGTCAAAGCATTTCATATATTCATTGCTATCGAGATGTTAAGAGCATTCCATGGAATATAACAAAAAGTGTATCTCGAGCCGGTTTCTCAAACTTACCTACCCCACCTTTAAGGGAGAGGATTATGACCAAAAAGTAACCAAAACATCGATTCTGAAAATATATAGTGCTTTTAAGTTTCTTTAATGTCATTTGTATTGCTGTGAGGGTCATAGGAAATCACGTTAACCTCCACTGAATGGGGGTGGAAGCAGGAGTATTGGCAGATGACACCAAAAGTATCTGTGTGGCTAGGGCTGGTTATAAAAACCCAGTATGTTTTTGTAATTTGGGTAAACTGACCTTTAAAAAGTCTTGCCGCACCCTTCCCACGTTGTATTACTAACATGCTACATTTAGCCATCTCCATCTTTAGAAAGACTTGCTTGTGGAAGCAAAGCAGACATCAAAGAGACATTTAACTCAAAAGTAACAGAATACACCAAAAATGATTCTTTCATCCCACAACATTTTAATATCTGGAGTTAGAAACAGAAGCAGTTCTGGTTACAACTGAAGGTAAAAGCATTACCTGCGTCCCTGAGAACAAAAATGTTTTCCTAAAATCTAAAAAGTGGAAGTAGCACGGGTTTTCATGTT